GGCGGGACGGGGCTCGGTCCGGGACTTGGGCCCGAGGAGCTGTCTGGACAGATCCGTTTTCTTGAGGCCTGTCCGGCACTGGGTGCCGTCTTGGGTCCCTGCTCAGGTTTATCAGAGCGCGGTCAGTTGGAGGCCGCCCTGGCTCGCCAGCATCTCCTGCTGCCCCCACCCCAGCCCTGAGCCCTGAGCCCTCGGCTTGGGTAACAGAAACCGGCCCGGAACGGGGTTGTTTGTGGTGAGGCTGTCCTGGCTGGAGGCGTCTGGGCATTAACGTGTGTCCTCCCTCCTGGTCACAGAGATGTAGGTGGTGAGGAGAGACACCGGGCAGGTTTCCTGATGCCCAGGCACCTGGGGAGAGCAGCCCTCCTTGGGGAGGGGCTGCCAGGGGCTTTGCATGGGGAGGGGCTGCCCAGGGGCTTTGCATGGGGAGGGGCTGCTCAGGGGCTTTGCATGGGCGGCTGCCCAGGGGCTTTGCATGGGAGGGCTGCCTAGGGGCTGTGGGTAGATGGATGGCATCAGGGTTGCAACAGAGGGGTCCAGATTCAGATTCTGTGTGTCCCTGTCCTGTGGTCACCCCAGCCCTTCTCTCGGCCTCTTGAAACCCTCACCAGGGACATCACTCTGAGAGTGTGTCCTGGCTCAAGGGGGCTGCAGCGGTCCATCTCTCTGTCCCCAGGTGGAACATGGGGCCTGGACTCTCGGGGCCTCTCTGCACCCAGAATCCTGACTGCAGCCCAAGTCTGGACCCCCAAGGACAAGAGTGCACCCTTCAAAGACAAGAGTACACCCCTCAAAGACAAAAGTGCACCCCCACAGACAAGAGTGCATCCCCAAGGACAAGGGTGCACCCTTCAAAGACAAGCATGCAACCCCCAAAGACAAAAGTGCATCCCCAAAGACAAGTGTGCACCCCTCAAAGACAAGAGTGCACCCCTCAAGGAGTGTACCTCAAAAGACAAGAGTGACCCCCAAAGCAAGAGTGCATCCCTAAAGGCGAGTGTGCACCCCTCAAAGATCAGCGTGCACCCCCACAGACAATCAGTCTCACAGGCGGAGGAAGCCAGGCTGGCTGTGCTGAGCAGGAGCGGGAGTGGACTGATGTTCTGGGTTCAGTTGGGTTGGGGTCCGGGTTCGGGTTCGGGTTAGGGTTTAGGGTCCATCCGTGTTTTCCAGAAGCTCACTGAGCACCTGCTGCTGTGCAGTCAGAGCCAGCAACTCTCTTATTTCGAAGAAGCAACATGTGAGTGTGTGAAGTGTGTGTGTGGCATGTGAGTGTGTGCAGTGTGCATGTGTGTGCACACCATGTGTGTGCATGTGTGGCATGCATGTAAGTGTGTGGTATGCTTGTGTGTGCTTGTGTGTGAGTGGGTGTGCAGCATGTGTGTGGCATGTGTGCATCCATGTCAGTGTGTGGTATGTGTGGCATCTGTGTGAGTGCATGTCACACACATGTATGCAGCATATGTGCAGTGTGCATGTGGTGTGCATCATACAAGTGCATGTATGTGCAGTATCTCTGTGTACCATGAGTGTGACATGTGTGTGCCCACACGAGTGTGTGGCATGTGTGGCATGTGTGTGAATGAGTGTCATGCATGCATGCAGCATGCATGTGAGTGTGCATGTGCATGTGGCGTGTGTGTGGCATGCGAGTGTGCATGTATATGCATGTGCGTGTAGGATGTGTGTGTGTAGTGTGCATGTGTGTGTCGCACCCGTGAGTGTTATGCAGCATGCGTGTGTGTGAGCAGCAGGCAGCAGCAAGCTCACACAGAAGCAGTGCTGGGTGTTTTCATCCCCAGCAATTCACGATGCCTGGCTTGGTGTCGGGGCCAGGACCTGGACGAGGCTGGCCAGGCTCACAGGCACGGCATTTAAGGTCACTGCTCTGGAAGCCGACCCCGCACCAGCTGCACCCTGAGAGCCAGGATCTCCTTAAATCTCGCACTCTGGGCGCCTCGCTTGCCTCTTGGTACAAAGATCTTCTTTGCAGATGAGTAAACTGAGGCTGTGTGGGTGGCAGACCCTGCCCAGTGCCACAGCCCTGGGGTCCTGGCCTAGTGGCTTCAGACCCCCAGGACCACAGGACAGCCATGGTTCCAAAAGATGAAGGTTGAGAACGGTCACCACCTCCCATGTCCAGGAGGAGAGTGAGAGATGGGGACCGAGCTTCACGCTGGCTCTCAGCAGGGGCCTGATAGGGGCTACACGCACTCCATGCACTCACACATGCACGCTCACACACACCCGCTCTCCCCACTGACACATGCATACTCACACATACACACCCCCACCCACCCCCACACTCATGCACAATCATGTACTTACACACATTTTCACATGCTCACACTCATCCACTCTCTCCACTCACACATACACACTCATATACACACATTTATGGTCACGTGCTGACGCACATTCCCACACGCTCCCACTCACCCACATACGCATGCAGACTCACCTACTCTCCCTACACACTCTCACACACACTCATACACACACACATACACACTCTTACAGTCACGTGCTGATGCACACTCCCACACGCTCCCACTCACCCACATATGCATGCAGACTCACCTACTCTCCCTATACACTCTCACACACACACACTCACACGCACTCACACACGCACTCACACTCACACTCACTCACGCACTCACACTCACACACCCACTCCCACACTCACTCACACTCACACACGCACTCACACTCACAGACTCACACTCACTCACACACCCACTCACACTCACCCACTCACAACACACCCACTCACACTCACTCACACTCACTCACACACACACACTCACAACACACCCACTCCCACACTCACACACCCACTCCCACACACACACTCACACTCACGCACACACACACACTCACACTCGTGCAGGCTGCCCCTCTACAGCACTGCCCAGCTCTGCAGACCGCACCTGAGCACATGCCCAGGGGCCCCTGTCAAGGTCCTTGTCTGGACTGGTGTCGGGAGCCGCCTTGCAGCCTCAGAGCGCAGCCCTGCTCCGGAGCCAGCGCAGCACCGGGTGTACAGTGGTCTCACTAGAGGCAGAGTGAGGGGCTCCCTCTCAAGGCTTGGTGGGAGGGGTGGATGGGACCATGTCCTGACCTCACTGTGCGGACCGTCCTGGCTCCTGGTCTGGGGGGCCGGCAGCACCTCAAAGCCTCCAGGCACAGCCCTAGCAAAGCCACGACCTTGGGCCCACGCCTTGCCGACCCCCAGAGCCTTTGCTCTGTAGCTGGCTGTCAGCCAGGCCTGGGAGACTGGGGGTTAACACAGGCCCCAATGCGCTGGGCATTGCATTTCATTTAAAAAAAAAAAAAATCCACAGGCAAAAAAAGAGAAACAACATTTTTTTTTCAGGTGCTAAAAATATTATCAGGAAATACTTTTCAGCATGGGGCCGTTCAGGTTCCCTGCCGGACTCAAGGACGCCTTTGTTTTGGCCACAGAATGTCCAATTTATCAAAACCCAAATCGCTTTATCAAGGAGGCTCCCGCTGTGGGGCGGGAAACCCGAGCCTCCCACCAGGCCTGTGGCATTTTAATTTAGGGCCCGAGCGTGTGTGCAGTTTAGGTCTGGGGGCCCCCGGGAGCAACCTCAGGACGCCAAAGTGGGGCAGGCCCTCCACCTGTGCACCTGGCTGCAGGACTGGTCTGTTAGTCCCGGAAGGACGGCCAGGCTCACGTCCAGGGCTGCAAGGGGCAAGGGCAGGCTGGTGTACCCCAGCTTTGTCTCCCCGTCCCCTCCAGGGGTGGCTGGTGGGGCACAGACCCCTCCAGACCATGGTCCCACCACATAGGCCAGAAGCGCTTGCTCCAGGTATACCTCCACCCACTGGGGGATTGAGACCTGGGAGGGCAGATGAGGGCTGGCCAAGGTCATGGCTGGGGAGGAGGGGCGGGGGGGTTGGTGACCAGGCCCCTGCTCAGTGCCTACGCTGTGGGGCCGCTCACACCCTACCCTCGCCTCTTCTATTCCAGCTGCCGGCAAGTCAGACCGAGATGGAGACACCCCCAGGCAGCCAGGGGGCAATGGTGGAGACCTGGAGCCCGTATCTCCCACACTGTCACTGCCATGGAGGAGAGACTGGAACACCTTGAGCCCAAGGATACGGCAGTGGTACAGGCATCCTCATGTCCGAGCCCCTCAGCCACGGCGGCCGGGGTCATACAGGCCCATCTCCGAGCCCCTCAGCCACAGTGGCTGGGGTCACATATAGGACAATACTTTTTTGGGGGTGCAGGACAAAATGCTCATTTATTTCCATTACAATCTCTGCAGGTGCGCAGCTTGGTGATAAAGAAGCGAGACTCGTGTTTCCCATGCTGACTGCACTACCTTTTACAACAGAATCACGCCGTGGTGCCCACTCGAAGTGGCCAGGGTGTTGTGTCTGTGGGACTGTGGGGACATCATATGAACAGTGAAACGCCATCCACACACTTGGACCCAGGCCTCCCCTGGGGGGCACGTCAGTCCCAAAGGCCTGCGTGACACAGGAGCCAGCCCTGCAGGGCAGCACGAGGACGTGTGGGCGTGGGCATGTTCCAGGACACACTGGGCTTCTCCAGTGACAACCCCAGACCCTGGAGCTGAGTCATGGCCAGCTCTCCCCGCCCCCAGCCCTTGAGTCTCCGGTCCTTACTGGCGGCGCTGAGGGTCCTCCACAAACGGACTGCGGGTGGGGAGGGAAGGAGGCAGCACCTACTCAGTGCCCGCCCCAGTGCCCCGCCTTCACTGCACACCACTGCTCTGGACGTCCTCGGGCAGCGAAGGGGAGTCCACCTGCCACCTGCTCGAGGCTTGCCAGTTGCCCTAACTGGCCACCGTGGCTGGGTGAACTCAGGGCACAGATGCTGCCACTCACTCCTGGGGATTTGCTTCACCTCTGAGCCTGGACTAGACTTCAGAACCCTTCCCAACACTGCCCTCAAACAGGCAGGCGAAGGTGAGGTGGAATGAAACCAATCCATCTGTCTCTTGGTCTGCTGCTTCTGAACAGCTTAGGGGCCCTGGTAAGGCGATCCCTAAGGCCAGACAGGATGGCCTAAGTCCCACAGTGACCTTGGAATAGACAGACAGACACTGCTGCAGGTCTGGGACACAGAACACCCTTCAGGTTCAGCTTACAGAGACCGATGGAGTGGACTTGGTGGGCAATCGGCCCTTGCACCCCACGCAGTTATGGAGGGTGTGTGCTCATGGGCCAGGCCGCACTGTGCACAGACAGGAATCCACAGGGAGGCCATGCCCCAACCACCACCACACACACCCCTTCCAAAACAGAAGCGGCCATTTGGAGGGACAAGCCACTCAGTGACCCTGCAAAGCGGGGGAATGGCAAAAAGCTAATGGGAGGGGTGCGGGCAGGCGCTACTTGGCACCCGGGTCACGGAGCAGCAAGGCCCGCCCAGGAACGGCCCCCGTTCCTGGTGGGGGACTGTTCCCAGGGTCAAGCCTCCTGGTGGCATGAGTCACGGGGACCGGCTTTGAGTCACTTCCAGCCACCTGCCACGGTGACGGCCTCGGCTCCTGGAGCGGCAGAAGGTCCGGACGTGGGACCGTGGCGGCCGCTGCAGGACCTTCTGGTTTTGGCTGCGGGCTCTGGAAACGCTGTCCACGTGTTTCCCGGTGTTTACAGACTGCGGGCATGGAATGTGGCCGCCGGGGTCGCCTTGTAGGTCCGCGGCGGAAAGCGCGCGCCAGGCAAGGCCACCCGGGCGCGCGCGCTCCTGCGCCCCCGGAAGCCGGCAGGACGCGCGCGCTTTCGGTGCAGAGCCCTGCAGCCGCCAGAGCGAGCCCCAGGCCAGTGCCGGGCGCTGGGCGGCCCCTCCGAGCAGGGTTTCTTGCAGGGGATCAAGGCCCCAGAGGCCCGGGGGCCCCCACGCCTGTCAGGGTGCCCGGGATCGCAGCAGGCTCACTTCCGTGCTCGATAGGCCTGGTCCGGGCACGCCTGCTGCCGCCGCTGGTCTTCCTCCGCCAGCTGCTCCTTCGGGCTGGTCACCTGGGAGGGGGGGCACTCGGTGACAGGCCCCCGAGGAGGCAGACGCACAGAATGACGGACAGGCAGGGTCACTTCCAGCCAAGAGGATGTGCGTGTCCCCCCTGCAGGAAGAGCTCATGCGGAAGCTGTGTGGTCACCCTGCAGGACCCCTTCCTCTGCGGCCCCCACCTCCTGGGGCCCCCAGCCCCACCTGCTGCTCCAGCTCCCTTACCTGTTGCTGGTGGGACTGCTCTCGGGCCTCCAGGGCCTGTGTGGCCTGCAGCTGAGCCCCACGAAGCCGCTGCGTGTGGGCGGCTGTGTCCTGCTGGTGCTCGTGGAGCCGCTGGGCCCCGCCCTGCTGCAGCTCTGCCATCTGGGCCTAGGGCAAGAACCTGGTGACCCCGGCACCCGGCCCTCCTGCTGGAGCTGCCCAGGGTGCCTGCCCTTTGAGGCCACTCGTCCTGTGCTCAGCAGGGGCCGATGCCGCACAGGGACACGTGGGAGTACAGGCCTCAGACCCACAGCCTTTGTGGCGGCTCGTCCACGTCAGGTGTATCATCCGCCCAATGCTGCCCAGGGGTCACGGCCCAGCCCCAGTCGGCCCTCAGACGAGCTTGGGTGCATGCCTGCCCTCAGCTGTGATTTCAAGTGCTGTGCTCAGGGGTCTGGCTGCACTAGAGCCCAGCCCCCGGGCTGGCCATCACTGCTCTCACGGCCTCTGGGCCACCACCTGCCTAGTCTTGTCCACCCTCCTTGCTGGCTTCTCATCTGGCGACAGGGATGGAGCCAGTGGCTAGAGTCTATCCACTGTCGTGAGGAGCTTGGTGCCTCTTAGGACGCCCCGCCCCACACAGAGGGCAGCCCCAGGCCCTGGCTTCCAGCACCCCTCCCCAGCTGCCCCCCAGGCGGGGTGTGCAGAGCCCTGCAGCCACTGACCTGCAGCTGCTGGTTCTGCTCAAGGGCCCCATCCACCTCCTGGGGCAGGACGCTCAGCGACCGCTCCAGCTGTTGCTCCTTGGCCCCCAGCCGTGCAGTGGCCCCCTCCTGTCTCATAGTCTCTCGCTTTCTCTGCAGAGAGCGGGGGTGGGCCTTGGGCTGGGATGTAGCGGCTTCCTGGCAGGGGTGGGGGCCAGGCCATGGAGGCCTGGGTACTGGAGGGGGCGGTTTCCAGATCCTCCGTACCACCTGCTCGTCGGTGGCAGCACAGACAGTGGCCTCTGTCCTCAAAGGTTGTAAGTTGTCCAAGCAGAGGCCCTTCTTTGTCACCCCCTCACCCCCAAGCTGGGCCCAGGGCTGGAGGCTTGGCTGAAGCCAAACATCATGGAAGGGACCAAGGAGATGTATCTTTGAATGTGACACTTGGTGTCACCGGTTGTCCCTTCTTGGACAATCCAGTTCCTCTGGGAGCAGAACTTTCTGAGCCCAGCTTCGGGGGCTGGGCTCAACACATCTGCTTCACACCCCCAGTTGGGCCGGGGCAGGATCGGAACCCAGGTCCTGCTCTCTGCCCTGCCTGTTCTGCTACCTGGGGCCAGACCATGTCTCAGGGAACGTGCCGAGGAGGGGGGGCGGCCAAGCTGGGGTCCCAGGTCAGCCCCTCCATGGGTGTGACTGTGAATGGGCCTGCCCTCTGGGCCCTGGCCGCAGAGGGGGGCTGGCCTTGCAGGTGCCCTGAGACACATCGCCGTGGATCACAGGAAGGTCAAGCACACGGTCGGTGCTGAGTGTTACAAAAACAAGGACCTCTTCCTCTTCAGGGCCAGAAACAGAGCGTCCTCTGCCTTGGACGAGGAACGCCTGTCCCTTTAAATTCCAGCTGCTCACCGGACACACATGCTAAGAAGCCTTGAGGAAAGCTGAGCCAAGACAAACACGCGTCCCCTCCTGAGACCCGGGAAGGGCGAGGGCTCTGTGCCTCACGGCTGCTGGAACTCATTAGCTGCACCCCCCACCTCCAGGGACCCGTGATAGTCACCGGGGCCCCCGCTACTCTGTTGTCCCCGACAGTGCCATCACACCCCCACAGGAGTGCCCACTCAGGAAAAGGCCTGGGTCTCGGGGACTGCCCTCCCTGGCTCACTCCTCCTCAGTGGAAGGCCAGGGGGCCCTAGTGGGCCACAAGTTGGCCAGTGGCTTCCAGTGACTGTCCTGACCAGAGAGCCTCCCTGTTTCTACTCTGTCCCCAGTCGTGTCCTCAGAGAGCTGTGTCCCCCTTGACCCAGCTACTCCCGTCCTGACAAGCCACTGGACAGTGAGTGCCTGTGTCCAGGGCCCTCCCTGTGGTGGCATTTGTGCTTGCTCGGGGACACAAGGCTGGGGTACGTGCTCTCTGGCGGCTCCAATCACTCTCTGGGGGAAGATGCTCACTGCCACCCCCACTGCAGCCCAGACGGCTCCGCTTTGGTCTGTCTCGAACATGGGGACCCAGGACAGAGGTCTGCTGAGGTCACTGGCTGGAGGACCCACCAGACGGCCCAGCCTCAGCCTCCTGCCCCCTCTCTCATCCTCTCTGCACTTTGGGGGTCAGCGACCGTTTGATTTTGGGCTGGTGACCCTGTCTTACACGCTGACCTGTGTGGGGAGGTCTGCTGGGGTGACAGGCCTGGGTGACAGTTGTCACTTGGATGTCACTCAATGCCATACACTTTCCAGTCTCTGAGCTGTATGGCCTTGTCTGTCCTGACTCTGAGGTCAGGGTCACTTGTCCCTGACAACGTCCTAAGGGGGAGGACCAGGAAGGGCAGTCGTTGAGCACCTCAGACTGGCCTGGGACCCACACCACCTGGTGCCTGGTCCTGTTTCTGGAGTCTTGGGCCTTCCTGCCAGGCACCCGGGTGGTGAGGTGGGTGGCTCACACGGCAGGCTGGGGCTCTAAGCCACTGGTGGTAACGCCATGGTGCCCTATGCCTCAGTCAGAGAGGACAGGTCGCCCCACAGAAGGGGTGCACGCACAGGGGTGGCAGTTTGGTGCACAGAGCAGGCGGTTCCCCCCTCCCCATTCCAGGAACCCTCCCTAGGGACTCTTCTCCCGATGGATCCCGGCTCGCCCCTCCCCTTCCTGGGACGCTCCGCCCGATCCGTCCCCGCTGGGATCTCCCGTGGGCCGTACCCTCGCCGCGTCCCCTCCCCCCACAAGCCGTCCTCCCACGCCGGACCCGCCTTCCTTGACCTCGCCTGGCTGGGACTCCCCTCCGACCCTCCGACCCTCGCTGGGACCCCGCGCGGGCCCGCGGACCGTA